TCAGGAGCCTCAGGGTTCCGGGGCTCATCAGGATAGCCTCCAGCAGTATAGACTGAGGCAAAGAAGGCATTCAGTAACTCTGCCTTCTTCTTATCCTCTGTCACCAGGGCACCCTCCTCATTCACCAGTGGCCTACATTGCCTCTAGTGTTAGTTTTATCTGCAATGTATTTGAAGAAGCCCTTTCTGTTGTCCTTGACCTTTCTTTCAAGGTTTAATTCCAAGGAGGTCTTAGCTTTCCTAGTTGCCTCCCTACATCCTCTGACAGCAGACCTATATTCCCCCGAAGTTGCCTGCCCCTCCTTCCATGATCTGTACACTCTCTTTTTCCCCTTGAGTTTGCCCAACAGTTCCCCATTTAACCATGCAGGTCTCTTGGTGCCCTTTCTTGACTTCCTACTTGTTGGGATGCACCGGTCTTGAGCTTGAAAGAAGAGGTCCTTGAAGGCTAACCAACTATCTTGGGCCCCTTTACCTTCTAGTACTCTGTCCCAAGGGATTTCTCCTAGCAGTTGTTTGAAAAGATCAAAGTTGGCCCTATTGAAGTCCAGGGTTCTAGTTCTGCTAGGTATACAGGAAGCATATAAAAGAACAGAAATAAAAACTGGAAGAAGCACTGAGATGTTCTCATGCCCACACCACACCAGGAGAGATCTCATAACTCTTAGTCACTGAAACTTGCTAATCAAAGGGATTAATCCAACAAATGCAGCCACCTCTCCTAGAACGTTATTGGAGAGACAGACTTTTACAACAACTGAAGACGTAACAGATCCCTTTGCCTCTCATGCCCAGGAAGGTGTGAGGAGGACATTTGGCTGGAGCAACTCCATTGGTAAGGAAGGTTAAAATACCTTTCCCCTACAAAGAGGAGGGCACCACTATTATGGTTTACAGCATTCATAGGTTTTCTGTCAGTGACTTGTCCATCTGATTTTTACAGCTCTTTTCCCTATCTCATTGCTGGTCTGCATGGAGCTTTACAGACACAGAAGACTAACTTTCTACTTTTGAGGATTTAATAACATGCACTGCTGTCAATTCTGAGATGCCCAGCACTTGCAATCCTGTCCATAATCTACGGTATTCTGGGTATTTCCAAGAAGTGCACAGAAACAGGACAGCAATCCAGGACAAACAGCACTGCAAATAAGTCTAACTCCGCTAACTGGGAGAACACTGAGATGGCTAAGCTGGTGGGGGAACTGGCTAACCTACAGGTGCTCATCCTCAGAAAATGGCAGATTCCCTAAGCTGGCTGAATCATGATAACATGCCAGCTCCTTTCAGATCTTAATGTGTGGAAAATTACTTCTGCTAGATAATAGACAGCAAAAGATTCAACTCACCAGTGCTCTTCACAGCCAAAATCAGAAGTAGAGCAGCTACTCGTAAGCTGATGATCTGCCACACAGTCAGTGCTGTTTTTCAATCTTGCGTAGTTTTTACGAACAATATATCCCCTGAAAGCTAAAAAACATGGTTGTGAATCAGAGAAAAGTTCTGCAGAGTCTGAAACGCAGACTGGCAACTAGCGCTGCAGTGCCCTCAACTTTTACGGAACCAGTAGACAGAAAAAACACTTAGCACCTCACAGGGGTGGCTCCAATGTTTGCAGTGTTTACAACAGCTGGAAATTATACAGGGCCTTACACTCTCACTGTTATAGTGACCACTTGGCACAGTCTAGGCAAGGAAAACAGGCCTCAAAATAAGAACATGCCTAATTTAAATAGGAAACCAGCCTAGAATGTATTAAAATACATAGCAGAAAACCACTCTCAAAACACTTTCTTTAATCACAACTCCCATGATTTGAGCTAGCCAGAATTTTACAAAATCAGAAGTTTTACCTGCTCTCATTGTGGGGTGAGGGGTGGGGAGCCAGGGATAGATATATTCAATGAAAGCTAGAAAATTAATAATGTCTTATCCCATTTTTCAATTAACTGTAACCATAATGAAACATTTAAAATATCTCTCACACAAATAATCAGGAAAAAAAATACAGAGATTGGAATTCATACCATTCATAAAAAACAGAGCAGAACAATACAATCACTAGAAATACTAAATGAAGTAGCAAGCATACAGTGAAATAAAATAGCAAAGAAAATGGCAATGAATAATATTTTGAAGATATCTACATCCTTTGTATCCATGGACTGTTGCTGGATTTAGGTAACTAAATAATTTAATTACTTTTATCATTTTATCTGACATGAATTTGCTTGAATTCTTGATACTTGTGAGCAGTTAGTAATAAAGCTCTAGCAAAAACCAGAGACAGTGATACATACCTCACTTAGGACAAAAGACTGAAAAGTATTGCAATGTACACTTCAATCCACAAATTTTTAAATTTTATTTCTTGCAGGGATTATTTCAAGCATTATTTTAAGTAGAAATACCTTGATGAAAGGAGAGGAAGGGCTGAATAATGAAGAAAGTAAGGACACTATCGATGCCATAGCTGAAGTGTACAACAAGCAGTTGCTGAATAATAAGGCTGAGGGTTGCGAGGTAAAGGAGCTTTTTATTAGTCTAGCAGAACTGCAACTTAAACAGTGAGACAATATGTAAAAGAAATGGGAGCTAAGATCAGGAAATATTATGATTTTTAGGAAAAAAATTTCCCTGTCCAGTAAAAGCTTTTAAGTACACTAAACATGCACAAAAGCAGAGTCAGTCTGGGGACTACAGAGAGGGTTGTGAAGTATTGGAACAGGCTGCCCAGGGAGGCGGTGGAGTCCCCATCCCTGGAGGTGTTTAAAAACCATGTAGATTTGGTGTTGAGCAACATGGTTTAGGGACCCTGACAGTGCAGGGTGAATGGTTGGACTGGATGATCTTGAAGGTCTCTTCCAACCAGACAATTCTATGATTCTATGATTCTATGACTAATTACCCAAAGGAGGAGGAGCAGAGCCCTCTCACTGGAGTTCCTAGAGTCCAGGGTTAAATACCACAGTGGGATGTAGCACAGGCACAGAAACAGGGTCTAGGGCAACATCATGTAGGATTAGGGTCAAGATAACATTGCAGATTACAAAGGGAAATCAGGACGTAGAATAAATACAGAATAAATTGTGAACAGAGTAACAAGTTTTCCCTGTATCTCATGTTTCTGATTTTATCAAAACGTTGGAAGTAGGCATTACCTACCCAACAGAAAATAAAGACCCTGTAGAATTTGCAATCCCTCAGTTATTACCAAATCATGAGATAATTGATTGGTTTCCCTCTTCTTCCATTTAAGTACTGTTATAAATTTAGCTCCCCGTTCATGTCTTTTTTTTTTTGCATAATGAAAAGATGGTGGAGGAAATCAAACAGAGCTACCTTGATTGCATCTTTTTTTTGGAAAGGTCTGTAAGTAATCCCTTCTTTTCTATTTTAAATCCTGTATAGTGTTAATGGCCTTCTTTTCAGCCACCTACCTTCACAAAAAATACCTGGTGTCGCACTTATTTGTGCAATATAAGAAAATGAAAACCATCTGAACAGTTCAAGCTGTGGTATGCAATGCACCATAACAATCTAAGCATTTCAGTGCTACTGAGGTTTCCAGGGTAAGCAGCAGTAAAAATTGCCTTTTAATGAGAGGTTACTAAAATAAATAACCATTCACTTTACAGAAGGCATGACAGAAGTTGGGCCTGCTGAGGTGTTGTGCTGAATACCGAGCTCAGGTATTGTGAGGCTGAGGAACTTTCGGCCCTTAATAATCAGACTGGAAAAGTCTGCCAGTCTGGCAGAGATGAGGCAAGCATTCACTTGCCCCATATGATCAGGCTTCCAATCCTTAACTATCCCCTACTGACCAGACAAGGAGCCTACTCCGATATTGGCAGCAGAGACAGCTGGCCAGCAGCCACCTCTCTGCAGCTGAAACATGCTGGGTATCAGTCAGCCGATGGACTACTGTAAAGATAAAGCAGCACTGAGACAAATGAACTAATAGATGAACTTCAGTTTTATCCTTAGTAATTTCTCAATTTTTAGCAGTTCTTCATGCGTGCGTGTGTATGCGTGTCTTATAAAATCAACCCTGATACATACTATGATTTCATTTTTTAAAATTCTTTTTCCCAGGGACTCTTATTAATGTCAGTATAACCATTTTGGTCTTTCCCTCATTCACTACATATAACCTGCTATATCTGATTTAATAAACATAGTTTTTACCCTGTCTTTTGTTTTCATACATATTTTCAAAATCAACTCCTCTTCAACTTAACCTTTCTGCAAGCTGGTTTCTAACATTCTTCTCAAATACCCTGAATCTGACAGGTAAATGGCAGTATTTTTTCTACTTTCCCTTTGACTCATGGGATGACTTAAGTAGCAGGATAAACAAACTTGTCTCTCTTTCAAAAGCTTCATGGAGCATTAGTAGGACTGCATCTTTTCAACATTTATTAACTAGATCTATAACATTTCCAAAGAAATGCATATGCAGAGAATTCTACTGGGGGAGTCTGAGAGGCTGGGAAGCTGCTCCATCACAGCAATTTGCATTACTGACTGGTGCTGGTTTTGACACTAAGCACTTGGCTCAAAGAGTGTGAAATTAGCAGACTCATGTTGCTACTGCTCCATGAACAATCACTGCATCATTGAAGAAGAATGATTACCAGCTGTCACCTCATTTTCACCTTATCCAGTCTATATTCCAAACTTTCCAGCAACAGTATCTCTGAGTCTGATCTCTACATAGCCAAAGGTGACAGGATCTGAAAAGCAACATAGTAACTGAATTTAATTTTATCACTTCTATTAGTAACTCGATGTTAAATGTTTTACGTGCCACAATTTACAACATGTACTTTTACTTCTTATACTGATCAGTTCTCACACAAAGTGAGTTTTCTGTCAGCTCTAGCACCTAGCAAACCAAGAATATATTTACCTCTGGGAGTCTGAAGTTTGGTGTCTTGGAGTTAAAAACCTTTATTTTAAGGTCCAAATACCAAGGCATATACATTACACACAAAGTTGCACAATTTCAGATAGGAAAAGTCTGGACATTTTCCCTTTGATTCCCATAGGAAATATATAGTTACAGAGTGAATTGTGAAGCACAATGTAGAATGATCAAAGCTAAACAATCACAGGTCTATACAAGAAGTATAAAGAAAGGGGATGAAGTAGTATTCTAAAAAGCAGAAGGATTCATTCTCAGTCGTAAAAAAAACATGTTAAGCAGACATTTTCTACACAGACACTTTTTAAAGCTATATTATCACCTAAAATAGCATGTAACAGCAACTTGGAAATGAAATCTCATGTTTGCTGAAGAGAAGATACCATGGTCGTTTGTTATCAGCAGTTGATTTGCTACAAATAGCATATCACTTTCTTAGTTTGCCTAGTTAAAAGAGCATTCAGTAGCTTAACTAACAACATCTGAGGGGATTTGGAGCCCATGAATCTGATTCTTCACTCCATGCCAAATTAATTCTAATGAACAGGAAAAGAGATGGAGAGTCATATTTTTTGCTGGGTCCCATGAATACTTGCCCTCTTTCACCTCTCACTCTGAATGGATATTGGGTGATGCCTGTTTAATAGCAGAAAAAACCCAACTCTTGTCTTAAGTTCTCTGGCAGAAGCAGTATGAGAAAGCAAGTCACAAGTTCTCACGTGCAAGCAGTAACTATCAGTAACAAGCAGTGACTCTGAGGAAGACTCAAGAAGGCTGACGTCAGGACTGGTGTCACTGCTGTACATCAACACTTGGACATAGGGTTTTTAATTACGATGCATTACAGTCTCTGATCTTGAGACTTGGTCAAAGAAAAAAAAAAGTGAAGATGACTGAGAAACTGTTTGTCAATATCAGCAAGGGAAAGGAATAGGGTTTCCAATGTATTGTTGGACAACATACGTTGCTGTCCCTTCCTGATTTTAGCAAGGGCATGAAATCCAGTAAGGATGGTCTCCTTTTCAACTTCTCAAAACCAGGAGAGAAAATCAAAAGGAAATTAAGACGTATCCACATTGACAGAGCTTAGCTCAGAGATGAGGATGGAATATAGGACCTCATACTTCAAAACCATAAAGCTGCCTTCTCATTTTTTCTGACATGTTCCCTGCACATGAGCAGGAGGCTTTTAATGGTTACTAGAGATAGATACTAAAAGTGAAGAATTACAGGATGCCCTAAGCTAGTATAGAACACAAAGAGATGGAAGAGTAAAGTTAATCAAAGCCGTGCAGCCTGTACGAACCAGTCTGGTTTACACTGAACGTGAAATCAAGGTAACACAATGAGTCAGTTCAGATATCATTAAGAGACACACATACATCTCCTCAATGGTTCTTACACTGACAATGCAGCTAAAAGGAAGAAAATTAATGATATAAAAAAATGAAACTGGATCTGCTACTTTTTTTAGTGGTTGCTATTTTCAGGAAAATTAAAAAAATACATATATTTAGATATATTTATAAAGTGCTTAGAAGTTTTTGGAACATTTTACTTGTGTAATTCTTAGATCTATACAAGAGTATTAGCTGAATACATGTACACAGAGATATAAATAGATGTATAAATATAGGGTTTTCAAGAAATACTTCCCTGTCTGCTATTGAAGCCAACATGAAATCTTTGTTGTTGAAAATCCCAAAGGTAACACTTTTATTAAAAGTATACATTTATTATAAAAGTAAAATAGTAAATTACAGCTGTTCTCAGGCCCTATTTTTTTTATTATAATCGAGTAAATTTTACCAGAAGCACATGTTAGAGATATGTAAATACTGAGCAACACTGCATAGGCAGAAGTTACAGAAAGAAAGCAATTTACAAAGAGATGCTTCATCTGGTTTCCTTCTCAACATTCATCACTTTTTATTAAGAAGAAAGAGCCCAAATCTTGAGTTCTTGATAAAGAATTTTCCAATACAATGTGACATATGGTGAGTGTGCGAGCACGTGTTGGAGGAGGAGATGGTGGCTCAATGGATTAGTCATTTGCCTTTCACCTCTGGAAGCATAGTTAAACTCAGTCCTGACCAGAGCTGCACAGTATATTCCAGATGGCTAAAGTGGGCCTAATTAAAATGAATTCAGTGATGTCACCTCAGATCTAAGTGAATCGCATGCACCACTCATTCGGCATTTTGGCAATGTCAGTTTGCAAATGAAATAACCAGATTAAAATCTTCCCTTAAGTCTTTCGGGACAACAGTCACACTGCATGGAAATACATGCTATCGTAACTAGAAAAAGTACTTTTATATTTGTATTATCTGTGGCTTTAAATTCTAATTAGTGAATTATTCTAATAGAAAGAAACATTAAATGAGACTTGCATGTCAGGTAAATCAGTGCAGCAACATTTCAGTCAGACGATTCAGTGGATATACACTGATTTAAACCAGCTGTGAATCTGGCAACATAATTTAAAAAAAAATCCTAATTTTAACAAGATATTTTTCCTTTCATGTAGACGTAAATAAAACCAACACAAACCCCAATTACAAAGAAATACTTACTCAGAAGTGCAAAGTATTGTTAACTCAAACACTTTACACAAAATCATTCTTTACAATCTGTCTCTAAGTCAAAAATTAGCATTTTCTAACCTTCATAGTTTGGGAAAGTGTGACTGGAAGAAGTAGGAAAGTCCTTGTGTATCCTGTGTACCATTTTAGCCACGGGTCTAATAACATCTGTGTATTCTGTGAACCTGTAATGCAGATATGCTGAAATAGGGTAGCTTTTTCTTCCTCATCTAATTTAAATTTACAAATATTTTGTTTCCTAGCAAGGGTGTTTTCCCCCATCTGAAATAATGACTTTTTTTCATGTAATAGTATACACTCAGGAATTGTATCCTCACATATATTGTGAGGGTTGGTTTTTTTCTAAGTTTGTTTTTTCTTCCAACATTTCATCAATGGATAGTGAACTGCTGGGCCCACAGAGATCTCCAGACCACCAGCTCATGTATTTGAAAGGCATCTGTTTATTTTTAAAATGCAAATGCAGCCTACCTCAAAGACTGATTTGCAAGAAATGAACAATCTGAACAAGTCAAGAGGTTTCCAATCAGGAGCTGTGTTCCTCCTTTATATCAGGCTATGATCACTTGCTGTCAAAACCACTTAAACAATACCCTGCAATCTGAATGAAGTCCCCCCACAATTAAAATGAGCAGGATAATCCTGCAAGAATTATTCAGGCAAATCATTTTTCACACAGTTTAAAGTAATGATAAGGTCATTTACAAAAGAAATCAGTGCCTTTGAAATGCTGACTTGTAGACAGAGGACTGCCTGGAGGAGGGCCATAGATAACAGTGAAGACTGGCCTCCTAACACTACCCTCGCAGTCTTTGGAACTGATTCTGATGAAGAGAAGGCCCAATAAGGTTAATACCCCTACTTTGATCTCTGTCAAAGCGTACCAGCAAGAATTAATTTACATTTCAGATGAAAAAGGTTGACAGCATGAAAAGGCATCTTGTTTCTGGTATGTGAATGTGCTGTAATAGATCGGGAATTCTGAAAGGAAGTTCTGAGGAAGCTAAAGGGATAAGCCGAGCGGCTGCTTTTATTGGGAAAGAGATGAAAGGAAAACAAATTTCAATATGCGCTGTTCTGTAGAAACATGTAAGCCAAATGCTTCCTAAATTTCAAGGCCTGCTTGGGAGGGGGTGGAGGAGTGTGGGGAGGGAAGAGAAGAGGGAAGTACATATATTTTAATTATATGGTTTTGCTAATGTCTAGATGACAAATGCAAACAATCTATCTCACTGCCTGAAATGGCTCATTTGAAAAAAAAAAAATACAAAGGTGATCATACTCCTTTTCATTGAAAAGCGGCCTTGAACTACACACATCATAAGATGCGCAGGGAAGGGAGAGATTTGGAGTTGCTTTTGTCTCCATGTCACTAGGCACTTGGACAGTGTAATGTAAACAACAGAAAGACTGTCAGTGTATTTTAAAACCTGGAAAACGGCCACCATTAGCAAGCATGAGCTTTGATTTGAAACACAAAATAATTAGCATGTAGAGAAAAGAAAATGTGCACAAGTAGAATTTTCAAATAAGAAGTCTTAGATATAGGTTTCCAAAGGCAGACAGAAATGTGTTGAGGATTATTATTATTATCATACTCCTTCGAATGCAGCGCCAAAGATAGGAGGAGCAAACAGCCTAATTAATACAAAGGTGCACAGTGCCACTCTTAACCCTATAGTCCTAATGCTTATTCACCCAGACTGATCACTGAAACTGTCAAGTGCCAGGTTACAAAGGAAGACAGTGTGCGTGTGCTGGTGGGAAGAGTGCTAACAGCATTCCTCTAGCATTAGGTTCAGAGGGCTAAATAGGACAGAAGTGTCCAAATTCAAGGGTACATGTACACTCCCACTACCTCTGCTCTGCCATGTTCAACACAGCATCTCAGACAGCATGAAGAAATACAGCTCTGAATTTCTCCCACGTGTACAAACAGCAGAATAGATCAGTTGCTTTCTCTAAAGACCTAGTAACGAGCATGCATCTCCTACACACCTAAGAAATACAGCTGGATAAAATGCTAAGGCAGAATGTCCCCCTACAGTCTCCCTGCAGTCTCCAAGTGGCATTGCTACACACCAGCTTCCTACTGAACCTGAAAGAACTCCCATCTTAAGGAACTGGTCATAGTGGGACAGTGATGGGTCAACTGTTTCACTTTCCTTTTTATGGCAAAAGGCTGTTGAAAAAGTTAGGAAAAAAAAGTCCAGGTATGGCCAAGTATAAATGTAGCAAATACTGCAGAAAATAGTTTCAGGGAGTACTTTAAGATCTGCTTTTAGTGCTGTCATGAAAACAATAAAAAATGACAACGCAAAGGAGAGGAAGAAAGGGAGAGCATGATTTTGCAGTCCCTCAGTGCTTATTGCAATGGGAGAAAAAAAAAATCTCCTTAACAGTTCTCCATTTAATAGAATATTCTGCATTTGACTCTAGAGCTCAATGATACTACCTAACGGTATGCATGCAAAGCTACAAATTATTATTTTATCCTAATGATAACTCTGTTCCTGTCTGTAACTAGATTGGTATTCTGTTTTCTGGTAAAAGTCATAGCAATACTTAATTTCAGAGTAGAAACGTAGACAAAATATAACCAAGTGGCTTGAGAACAAAGCAAAACAGTATTTAGAACACATCTTTTTCAGATTGACTTTAGATTACATTATATACAATAGGAGGTGACAAAGTTTAAGGAATTATAGCACAGGAAACCGATAGAATAAAGGCGGTACCTTGGTTTATCTGTAAACACATTTGCTACAACTCATTTTTGATCAGCTACAGTCTTTCAGCCTCGGGTTGGACAAGGAAGGTGTATTACACTGCAGCATATGGAGGCTGCTTCATATTTGCAACATCTGAAAACACCACTGAGTTCACGGCACTGGTTCTTAGATTTCTGTGCCATATGGTACCCTGCTCTCTACTAGAGACCTGCACAGCCCTATGGGCCTGTTCCTTCAATAATCTCTTTAAAGTTTATTCAAATTCATATTGATATGGCTGCATAGGAGTCTGGCAGAGAGTCAAAAGTTTGCCCAAAGCTGGCAAACCCAGCAAGCAGTCAGAACGGAAAACCTGGCAACCTGCCAAGATCAGGGCTTGACACAAAGACAGAGAAATGCATGTCCAGTGCCTCCCATCCACACTTTTAGACATATCAATCCAGTGCTTCATATCAGCACTACATACAGTTGAATCATTCTGACTGCTCAGAAGAATCTTAAAGAATTAACTCAACAGCTTTTAATCGGTATGTTTTGCTTCCAGAGAAGTACTTACAAAAAGCTCAAAGTGCCTGATACCTGTCACTGATGTCATTTGATACTGAAGAACAAGTGATCAGAAGTAATGTTTTTGATAGCTTTTGTTTGGATTGCATGTATTTCTCTTGGTTATAAATACTGACACGTGAAATCACCCACAGCAAAATAGGTGTTGGCAATTGAAGTAATGTTTTAATTACCTGCTTGAATATGTATAGCGGCAACAGTTCTTCTGTTCCTTATTTCCTTGTACTTCCTGCGAGCTTCATATCCTCTCCAGGCTAAAAATACAAAACCATGTGCTGGAAATTACATTTATTTAGGGAAGTGCTACAGAGTCTACAGAGTCAGAGATGTGCTGAAACTTTCATCCCTCCTGCCATAACCACTTCAGCTCCCACCCCTGATACCTCTTCCCCACCCACCCACATGTTGAACTCTGGGTTCACGACTGCAGTATTCACATCTCCACAACTTCAAACGCTGCTTCACTCATCCAAATTTTAATTGTCACCATGTGCTCACTGATGTCCTAATCCAAAAGGCAAAGGTGCATGATCATGTCAGCGTAAGAACTCCTCTCCTCACACAGCTCCCCAAATTCAATACAAGGAAGCCTGCTAAATTAATGATAATCAAACTTTTAGGCCCAGCCCACAATGTATATTATCTGGAATTCTGGTATACATGCAAGGCAGGGGCACACTACTGAACTTCATTTATGTGCTGCATGCTAGTGCAGATGTACCTAACGATATTTTAATTTTGTGTGCAGGCACCACATTCAAAATACTAAAATATTTAGAGAAAGACATTACCAAATACTAAGATTACACCTTAGAAGTAAATCAGTAATTTTTGCACCAATTACCTGGAGAGAAAAGCACCTCCGGTTATTTTGATTTCATAATAAACTATTATGAATGAATAAATAATATACATGCAATTTAACAGCTTGAAATGCAAAGATACTCAACGAAACAGGGAATGTGAACATTTACCTGACTGTATGGTAACAGCACTAGTTTCTCTTTTCTCTTTGACTTTTCTGTATCTCCTTGCTCCAAGCCATCCCTTGATATAGGCTTGCATGACCACCACCCTCCCTATAACTTCGCGCAGAAACAAATTTAACTGCTCTATATGGTAATACTTTAGAAAAACCTGAAATGGAACAACAAAAAAAACACAACAGTACTAGATGCAGGTGGCAGCATAACCTCTGGTATTCTGCCTTTTCATTAGTCTTATGTCAGCCTATCTTAGGGCACAGTTCCTGAGAAAACTGGTAAAATACTGGTTGTTGATATCATAGAAATCTTATGAATCAAATATTTTCTCTCAATGTGCTTCTGAGATGTCATTATTTCCCTGATTATAATCACCCCATTGCAAAATAAACCATATTTGTAACCCCTTTACAAAGTATATTGGTCAGGGGGATATTTTCACCCATCAGTAATTTTGAAATATAGCCTTTCTTGAAAGTGGGAAGATAAATCCTGGGTTGAATTTGGTTTTAGACATAATATTGTCTAACAGCATTCTGTTTCAGGAGACAAATCCTATAGGTGCTTACACACACTTTATCTGGGTCTTGAGCAGGAAAATTCTCCTTGTTTTTCCTTTTTGCACTGTAAAACAACTCAAGATTCCTTCTTACAGAAGTCACCCACTCAATTTTAAACCATGAACAAAGGCTCTTGAGAGAGCCAGAAGGATCTCACCTGAAACTCCACAAATGGATAATGTACTAACCAGGCTCACAGGATGGGCCAGACTGTGAAGTTGCAGTCATGCCATGATTAAGAGCAGGAGGAACTTCAAGGGGGCTACTACCACAGCAGGCACTGACAGATGTAATGTCCTTAGCAATGCAGCCATGTGCAGAGTGTGCTCTGGGAGGTACTCAATGCACTCCTCCTCTTGCAGCACTCACTCAGCTGGCTTAGGAAGGCACCTCCATAACCTGGGATGCTAACTGGAGCAAATTCCTTGCTCTTCTGTTCATTCATGCACTATTTTTCGATCTACTATTAGACATGTTTTGCTAAAAGGATACTATTTTTGAGAAAATGTTAGCACCCTCTACCTTGGTTTTCCCCAGAATCCAGTTTTCTAGTTTAGATTTCTCCAAAATGGCAAGACAGTTTTCTCTGCTACCAAGGGGAGTCTCATGTGCCTTGAATGCAAGGTAATAATACCTGCAAAACCAAACGACAAAGAAAGAATTGAATATGAATCAATATGTACTTTCACTGCTCTCTCTAGCTCAGAGCTGCATCTCTAGAACTCAAGGGCCAATTTCTCCCTTACGCTCAGTCCTCCTCGTAAATCATGACACAGCTGTCATGAACAGATATTTGAGCATATACATGACATAGGAAAATAAGTGACCACCATAGTGGTGACAAGAATCTGCTGCATTCTAGAAATCCCTGGTTGGTGTAATCATCCATAAAGGTCTTTCACAAACCAGTACAACTTAGGAAATACCCAAGGTTGCTCTGAATTTTACAGACGAACGAGTAAATGAATAACAGGAGAAGAAGAAAAAGTGCTAGAAATCAGAGTAATAGAAAGGAAGGCAAAAATAAAACCTTTTGCATAATGTGTAAAATAAGTATGCCACATACTTTGGCACAGTTACATCTTGCTGCAACTCTGCAAGTTCTGTTGAATAAGCCAGTACTCCCCGAGGTGTTCAATAGACCTTTACAGAGTTCTTAGTGGGAGAAAAGTAAAATACTAGCACCAAACAAAGAGAAAAGCACCAAAAGTAAGTTACTCATGACCTGATGTTTGTTTCTTATGAGAAATGCCAAAAAAAAGACATTTCAGAATCATTCAGTATTTGGTCATTTTTCACAAAGAAATATAAATGGCCTTGACGTTTTTTGGGAAGCATAAATCCACATAAGAAGACCAAAGCTCTTGAGCTTCCAGCAAGGTCACTCTCATCAGTGGAACTCAGGGGTGCTTCCCATTTTCAGTATGCCCAATAGAAAGACTAAGGATTCGCAATAGGTGAAGATAAAGGCCAGCGCTAGGAGGGCAGGCAGTACAATGATACAGGGATACTGACTGACCATTGAAACTGAAAGGCTGCCACTGTGTGTGAAGAATAAAGATTAGTTTACGGTAAAAACAACTCTCACATCAATCTTAATTTACAGACAGCAAGATGATCAGACTGCATGAATACCCACCTGTGTTTCACACATCCAGAAGAGGTCATACATACACATAACTAAAACAAGTGGCATTGCTATTCGATTGGCAAGTATTTTATCAGTGCTGATGGTTAAACAGAACTAGTAGCTATTTTAAAGAAAAAAATAAGTGAATTACTCCTCGTATGAATGTAATCATTTTCTTTACTCATAAGGATTTCTGTGGTTATCATTAAGTTTGTAAGTCATTAGGCATGATGGCTTTTTTCTATTTGATTGAGATAAACAATTAATTAGAACAATTATGATCGATTTTAGTGGCCTTTGGAGCAGGCCCACACTAAACAACATTGACTTTTCTTTTGTCCGTGTTCCCTTGCAAAGAACAGCCCTTAACAATTATGTGAAATAGTTAATGAAAAAAGGATGCAAACATGTTTGAACTGAACAGACATTAAGAATGAATGGACCAATCCTACCATGCATTAATGAAGAATGGTTTTATAGTATTTAAAAAACTCTACTTGCAAACAATTACGTTAAGTAACAGCAAGAACATGTGCCAGTTAGTTTACAAATTTAAGGTTATTTTAGCACAAGTACACTGTTAGATGGTAACAACTGCTCTCATTTATGAATCGCCATGTGTTGTCCTGGTCTTTGTAATAAAGTTATACTTCTACAGGTTCTACTCTATTTACATTGTATTTGAGAAGAACTGGCAGGTTAAGCAAATCATTCTTCTAATTATTAGCACAGGGAAGAGCCATCAGATGCTCTTTAAAACATAAAGAAAAGAATCTGACCAGGGAACCTCAAAGACAAATTCCTCTGTAGTCACATAGAGGCAAGAAAATAGCCCACCTCATACTGAAGAAAATATGGAGAAGCAATTAGAAAGAATGGAATAGCACAAGCCTTTTTTGTGTTCTTTTTTTTACATCAGGAGAATATGATTTTCAAATATTAGCTCCAGTTAATCTCTAGATATTAGCTCCAGTTGTCACAAGAAAGAAGAAAGAACTACTATAACAGTCAATAAAGATCAAAGGGGAACAAAATGACATCTGAAAGCAGAAGCACTGGAGTCAGTCCTGGACCAGAGACACAGATATTCACCAACTGGAGACATTGCCCACTCTGAATAATGATAGGAGATTAGGTATTATTGAGTTATTTTTAATGCAGTGACTTTCTCAATAACATGATATTGCAAATTCTTTAGCCAAGTCTTTCAAAATACTAAGAGTCATGCCATTTAGTAGATATGGAGAGACATGATATATTTAAAAGAAAAAAAAGTACATTTCCTCCTCCTTATACTGAAATTAATTATACTGGTTTTCACAAGACAAATGCACTAATAATACTCAGATTTTAAATATATTTATCACAAACAGTTTGTGATAGCACACAACTCCAACACATATTTGACAGATAGGTCAGGGAAGTTACACTAATAGTAAATTGCTGTTTGCTTCAAAAGCCAGTTCGGATAGCCATGTTATTTAAACATGTATGTAACTTGAGCAGCTCTCTTCCTTAGGAAGGAGGAAGGATTCCAGTGAGGGATACTATCAGTTTTCTGGTTGTTGGTACATCTTTTAAGGCATGTCGTACTTGAGAATTTTAAAACCACAGAACAGTTTTTAGATGCAATAAAATAGTCAAGGAGGATTTAATAATTTTTGAATCTTAGTATCTTATCAGTGACATTCTAATTACTCAGAAGTTGACTTCTTATTTCTGACAAATACCTGACTAAAAAGTATTTTTGAGCTATGCAACTTACACACCTGACTATATCATTTTGTTTATGGCAAACCAGTATCTTTCAAATGTAGGACCCTCTCCATTAGCTCTCTTTCATGATCTAGAATGCAGTTGCTTTTGGTACTCGGGAAAAAATACGAATAAGCAATGCCCATTTTTCTTATCAAATTCTGTTTTAACAAATGTTTTTAGAAATGTAAATTTAATCTGTCTTATAAGAAAGCAAGCCATTCAGAATGACAGTAACTTTACAAACCATGGCAATAACTTCTGTTTCTGTATGTAAACATATTGTCTCCTAATATTTCCTAACAACTTCCTCTAAATGGTGTTTTTCCAAATATTTTGATTGATTCAAGCACTACACAGAAGACTCCTGTAACTGGTTAAATACACTGGGATGTCAGATTTTCAACATCAGGTCTTCATTTTCAGTTATGTTATCAAAAATAAGGCAGAAATTACTCTACTCATCAGAAATAAGGTGTAGCAAGATGAGATTGGCAATTTCTTTTTGATTATTTCTTCTCCAGAACTGTTTTTGGAGTTTGCATTCTGCACAGTAAAAAGTCTCTAGATTAGTGTTCCAAAGCTCAAATCTGTGTTCCTTTTTTTTTAAGCAAACACTTTGTTTGCTATCTGATGTCTGTTTTTGTGACTGAATCACAAAACTACAGACGCACAACTAGTTTGACTTGATGTGCTCAGGATAACTGTATGGCAGCACAGCATGTGTCACATACGGTTATCCAATTGTTTACCTAATCTAAAATCTTTGTACAGCAGTGGACCATTTGGAATACGTTGGAGGAAGGTGAAATATTTCACCTTAATGTATCTTGTAACAGTGTGCAAATATTGTACATGGTGAAATGGTAAGAGAAAAGATCTGGGAATGCACTCAAAACTTTGGAGTACATGCAACTACAACTGTTCATTTTGATTTATTGGCCTATTTTTTTCACTATCATACTTATGTAAATCTACTGCACAGAGATCATAGACAGAGTGACCTCTATTTACAATATTTCACCAAGAGAATAAGAGAATCATAGAATCACAGAATCATAGAATGGTTTGGGTTGGAAGAGACCTCAAAGGTCATCTAGTTCCAACCCTCCTGCCATGGGCAGGGACACTCTCCACTACACCAGGTTGCTCAAAGCCTCATCCAACCTGGCCTTGAACACTTCCAGGGATGGGGCATCCACAACTTCTCTGGGAAACCTGTTCCAGTGCCTCACTACCCTCAATGTAAAGAATTTCTTTCTTATATCTAACCTAAATCTGCCCTCCTTCAGTTTAAATCCATTGCCCCTTGTCCTATCACTACATGCCCTTGTAAAAAGTCCCTCTCCAGCTTTCCTGTAGGCCCCCTTTAGGTACTGGAAAGTTGCTATAAGATCACCCCGGAGCCTCCTCTTCTCCAGGCTGAACAACGCCAACTCTCTCAGCCTATCTTGATAGCAGAGGTGCTCCAGCCCTCTGATCATCTTCGTGGCCCTCCTCTGGACTCGTTCCAGCAGCTCCATGTCCTTGAAGTGTTCAAGGCAAGTGTTCAAGTCCAGGTAGATGATTGTCAGTTGCTCTTCCCTTATCCATCAATGCTGGAACCTCATCATAGAAGGTCACCAAATTAGTCAGGCAGGATTTGCCCTTAGTGAAGCCATGTTGGCTGTCACCAATCACCTCCTTGTTTTACATGGGCCTTAGCATAGTTGCCAGGAGGATCTGCTCCATGATCTTGCCAGGCACAGAGGTGAGACTGACTGGCCTGTAGTTCCCTGGGTCTTCTTTTTTCCCTTTTTTAAAGATGGAAGCTATGTTTCCCTTTTTCCAGTCAGTGGGAACTTCACCAGACTGCCATGACTTCTCAAATATGATGGATAGCGGCTTAGCAACTTCACCTGCCAGTTCCCTCAGGACCCACCGATGCACCTCATCAGGTCCCATGGATTTGTGCACCTTCAGGTTCTTTAGATGGTCTCAAACCTGATCTTCTCCTACAGTGGGCAGTTCTTCATTCTCCCAGTCCCTGCCTTTGCCTTCTGTGACTTGGGCTGTGCAGCTGGAGCTCTTGCCAGTGAAGACTGAGGCAAAGAAGTCATTGAGAACCTCAGCTTTCTCTGCATCCTTGGTAGCCAGGTACCCCGTTTCCTACCGGAGAGAGCCTACCTTTTCCCTAGATCTCTTTTTATCACTGACATATCTATATAAGTTTTTCTTGTTGCCCTGATGTCCCTGGCCAGATTTAACTC